CTGCTGGTGGGTCCTGCGGAGTGAGGCACCGCGGGGATCTGAGCGAGACCTCGCCGTCCCTGGGGGGGCTGCGATCTGCGACGCTGTCGCCACTTTCGAGGGCTGCTGGCTGGTGGGTCCTGCGGAATGAGGCACCGCGGGGGTCTGAGCGAAGCCTCGCCGTCCCTGGGGGTTGCGATTTGCGACCTTGTCGCCACTTTCCAGTGCTGCTGGTGGGTCCTGCGGAATGAGGCACCGCGGGGATCTGAGCGAGACCTCGCCGTCCCTGGGGGCTGCGACTTGCGACGCTGTCGCCACTTTCGAGGGCCGCTGGTGGGTCCTGCATGGTGAAGCACCGCGGGTATCTGAGCAAGACCTCGCCGTCCCTGGGGGTCTGCGATCTGCGACGCTGTCGCCGCTTTCGAGGGCTGCTGGTGGGCCCTGCGGAGTGAGGCACCGCGGGGATCTGAGCGAAGCCTCGCCGTCCCTGGGGGGCTGCGATCTACTGTCGCCGCTTTCGAGGGCTGCTGGTGGGTCCTGCGGAGTGAGGCACCGCGGGGATCAGAGCGAAGCCTCGCCGTCCCTGGGGGGCTGCGACTTGCGACGCTGTCGCCACTTTCAAAGGCTACTGGTGGGTCCTGCATGGTGAAGCACCGCGGGGATCTGAGCGAGACCTCGCCGTCCCTGGGGGGCTGCGATCTGCGACACTGTCACCACTTTCGAGGGCTGCTGGTGGGTCCTGCAGAGTGAGGCGCCGCGTGGATCTGAGCGAAACCTCGCTGTCCTGGGGGGCTGCGATTTGAGACACGGTCGCCACTTTCGACGGCTGCTGGTGGGTCCTGCGGAGTGAGGCTACGCGGAGATCTGAGCGAAGCCTCGCCGTCCCTGGGGGGGCTGCGATCTGCGACGCTGTCGCCGCTTTCGGGGGCTGCTGGTGGGTCCTGCGGAGTGAGGCACCGCGGTGATCTGAGCGAGACCTCGCCGTCCCTGGGGGCTGCGATCTGCGACGCTGTCGCAAGTTTCTAGGGCTGCTGGTGGGTCCTGCGGAGTGAGGCACCGCGGGGATCTGAGCGAGACCTCGCCGTCCCTGGGGGGCTGCGATCTGCGACGCTGTCGCCACTTTCGAGGGCTGCTGGTGGGTCCTGCGGAGTGAGGCACCCCGGGGATCTGAGCGAGACCTCGCCGCGACGCTGTCGCCACTTTCGAAAGCTGCTGGTGGGTCCTGCGGAGTGAGGCACCGCGGGGGTCTGAGCAAGACCTCGCTTTCCTGGGGGGCTGCGATCTGCAACACGGTCGCCACTTTCGAGTGCTGCTGGTGGGTCCTGCGGAGTGAGGCACCGCGGGGATCTGAGCGAAGCCTCGCCGACCCTGGGGGGGGCTGCGATCTGCGACACTGTCGCCACTTTCGAGGGCTGCTGGTGGGTCCTGCGGAGTGAGGCACCGCGGGGATCAGAGCGAGACCTCGCCGTCCCTGGGGGGTTGCGACTTGCGACGCTGTCGCCACGTTCGAGGGCTGCTGGTGGGTCCTGCGGAGTGAGGCGCCGTTGGGGTCTGAGCGAGACCTCGCCGTCCCTGGGGGGCTCTGGAGAGCTGCTGTGGGATGCGTTAGGCGCAACGGGCGCATGGCACAACCAACGGGGGTGATTTGTGAAACAGACCATCTGCCGGGCGATGGCCATAACGTTGCGCCTACACGTATCCCGCGGGGACTCTCAAGAGCTGCTGTGGGACACGTTGGGTGCAACGGGCGCATGGCACAGCCAACGGGGGTGATTTGTTATTACGTAGCCCTTAGATCTTGATCGGGGGCCTGCGAGCCTTCCGATTGCTACTCGCAAAATCACATGCGTCCATGTTACGTCATCGCCCCCGTTGTAGCAATCGATGCACTTCTGCCCCGCATTGCGCAAGGGTTGGGTGCCTCGCCAGGGTAATTTGGCATCGTAAAACAATCAACAACAGCTGCAACAACAACAACAATAACAACACCACACCTACAACAACGGCACAACAACAACACCACCACCAACACCAACCACAACACAACAGCACCAGCACAACACCCACACACAAAAACAACAACCAATCATCATCAACAGCAACATACACAACGACAAACCCAACACCAACAACGGCAGCACCAACACCAACAACACCAACAACGTCAACAACAACACAAAACAACTAAAACGGCCGAACTTCATCAGCCACACCAACAACACACAACATCAACAAAAACAACAACACCAACAACAACACCAACAACAACAGCACAATTAAAAAACAACGACCGCAACAATAACACCAACACCAACAACACCACCAGCAACACCACCAACAGTAACAACTACAACAGCCCAACATCAACGACCACAACAACAACAGCACCACCAACAACAACGACAGCAGCACAAACACCACCACCAGCATCGACAACGTCAGGAACAGCAAAAACAACAACACCACACACAGCAACGACAGCAACAACAACACCAACACCAACAACACCACCAGTCGCAACACCAACAGTAACACCCACAACAGCCCAACATCAACAACCACAACAACAACAGCACCACCAACAACAACGACAACAGCATAACATAAACACCAACTCCAACATCGACAACGCCACGAACAGCAACAGCAACAGCAACAGCAACAGCAACAGCAACAGCAACAACAACAACAACAACAACAACAGCAGCACTGCAACAGCAGCACAACAACAGCAACAGCAGCAGCAACAGCAGCAACAGCACCAACTGATATCTGGGCTCAGGTGTCCAAGGTCGACCCCCGGCCCTCCCCCGTGGGGTTCGTTCTACGAGAGGCCTCTGGGAGGCCCAGCATTGGAAAGCCTCGATCCTCCGAAGACGGCCGCGACCCTCGATCATCGGCCGGCCAATTCCTCCTGCTGCTGCTGCCCCTCCCTCCTCCTCCTCCTCCCCCCTTTCCTCCTCCTCCTCCTTTCTCCCTCCTCCTCCTCCTCCTCCTCCTCCGCCTCCTCCTCCACGATACTCGAAGCACGACATCGATCCTCGACAATCGCACCTTGTCGGAGATCTGGGCTTTCAGGGTCCCGCCCTCGCGCGCGGAGATGAGCTTCGGTTAACCGATCGCTACTGGCCGATTTCCCCCCCCCCCTGCCCTTATATGGGATACATATATAATTATATATAATTGCTCCCTTGGGACTTCGAGGGGGCATCTCCTCCACTGGGGTGGTGGGATAGTGGGGATCGGGATTGGAATACCCAGGCCCCCGACGTCATGATTCTGCATGACGTGGACCGCCAGAAATCACGACCGAGGAGGAGGAGGAGGAGGAGGAGGAGGAGGAGTCCTCAGGAACGGTTTTTCATCCCGAGTCGGAGTCGTTTCCTGACGGTCCCGAAGGCCGGAGGGGCCCCCGAGAGGCAGAACATACGGGGACACCTTCCGTCCTGTTTTCTGTCACGACTCGAGAGGGTCGGGGCAGGACTCGGTGACACTCGGCGGCGAGTCAGACGGAGGAGGCCTTCTCACAAGGTGGCAGAGCTTCTTAGAAGCCTAGCCTTCTGAGAAATCTTCCGTCATCGGGCAAGGCCCAGAACACTTCTGAGAAAAGCTGGAGGACTTCTGGACCTTCTGAGAAGACGCGCCCCCACTTACAGGCAATCTGGATAGTAAGGATGCGCGATGAGGATGCAAGGGCCTTGGACGCCCATTTCGAAGCCTTTCGAGCGGGGCGCGGCCGACGAAAGTGGCCAAGGGTGGGCCGAAGGGGCAAGGATGCCAGGGTACCCTTGGGAAGGTTGCCCATCCATACTATGCGGTTTGACTGTACTTCCCCCACAAGGCTGGCAAGGTACGGACAAAAATGAGCACCCGATGCCCAAATAATACATGTCATCCAAGACCGACCGCGGCCGCTGCAGGCCAGGCGGCCTCTGGGCTCGAGTGGGCAGCGCCCGCGGCGACACCGACGGCGAGTCCTGCCGAAAAGGAACAGTTGCTGCCGTCGGTCTTTGCAATTGCGGCCTGGCCTGGGACAGACGAGCAGCCTTCAAGAACACGAGACCCTCCGCCGGCCAGAATGAAGAGCCTTCGAGCGTACCCGCCCGCAGAATGCACAAGAACATGCAACAGGCACGGAGAACACGAGGGTACCCTCCCTGACCCGAGCTCGAGCTTATGCCTCGGTCCAACCGTACCCATCTCGGCCTTACCGAACGGAAGAGGCAAGGGCGCCTCACTTCGCTAATCACTTCGCGCTCTCACGCCGTCCGCCAGGGTAGAAGAGGCGGACGAGGAGTCGGCGCCGAGGCCGCGAAGCGCGAAGAACTTCGCGTCCTCGAAGGCGCCCTTTGAGCAGGGATCGACCGTCCCGGCATTCCTATAGGCATACTACGACAGTATCTTAGAGCCCACAAACGTTCCAACAACCAGAGAAAATCTCTTATAACCTAAACCCGATCTGTTAAAACAAGACATGTCGTGCAAACCACACAAGGTTTTCAAAACATTCCCTGGTGGTCCTTTAGGCATGCCAAGACGCTTCGCCACTGCTCGACGAACGCCGAACCGCGAATCACTTCGCGCCCTAGAGGGCACCCTTGGGAACAGGCTCCTCTTCCTCATCATCCTCGAGGCTCCTCATCATCCTCCTTCTCCTCTGCCCCTTCCTCTTCCTCATCCTTCTCCTCCTCCTCCTCCTCCTCCTCTTCCTCCTCCTCGTCCTGTCTCCTCCTCCTCCTCCTCCTCCTCCTCCTCCTCCTCGAGGGCGCCCCTGGGAGCAAGGCCTCTAGGCGGCTGTCGAACAGGATCACGGGGGCGGGCAGCAGCAGGGCCACGATGGCCCCCACCTCATGCGAGCCGGCCGGGTCGGCATCTCCGGCCAGAGGGGCACGGCATGGGGCAGGGGCGACCGGAGGAGGAGGAGGAGGAGGAGGAGGAGGAGGAGGAGGAGGAGGAGGAGGAGGAGGAGGAGATGATGAGGGGGAGGAGGGGAGGGGGGAGGAGGAGGGGAGGGGGGAGGAGGATGAGGAGGGAGGATGGACGAGGAGGGACGATGAGGGGGGGAGGACTGACGATGCCCGTCGAGGGAGGGCCGACGGCGACCGAGGGGTCGGGAGGGGGCCGCCTCTGGCACGAAGCTAAGCAGGAAGGCGGCCAGGCCGAACGCCTGCGACAGGTCCACGTCCAGGACCTCACGACGACAACAACGACAAGGACAAGAGCGGCGACGACGACGACGATGACGACGCCGAGGACAAGGACGACGAAGACAAGGACAACAACAACGACAGGACGACGACGACGACGACCACGAGGACAACGACGACGACCACGACGACGACGACGAAGATGACGAGGGCGACGAGGACGGCGACGACGACGACGACGCCGCCGGAAGACGACGACGAGGACAAGGACGACGAAGACAAGGACGACGACGACCACGACGACGACGAGAACGACGATAACCACGACGACGACGACCACGACGACGACGACGACGACGACGGCGGCGAGGACGGCGGCGACGACGACGACGCCGCCACATCTTTCGCAGGTATTCGGAGCTCCGGGCGGATGTCTTGGGTCGCCGCGGGCCCCAGGAGGCCCAGACTGGGGAAAACTTTCGACGGATCGATCCTCCAGTCGATGTACCCTCGACCCTCGATCGATCGATCGTCGCTCGACCGAATGGCCCTCGATCCTCTCGTTTGAGGGCTTGACGACTTCTGCCGTCCCTCGACTCGCGCTGGAACGGCTGCGAGTTTCTCGAGATTTACCTGGATTTGCCTCGACTTGCCGGGACGTGCCTCGATTTCTCTGCGTTCGCCTCCATTTCTCTGGCCTGACTCCCAAACGTCGATCGACGAGAAGTCGTCAAGACCCTTGGGGACCCCCGTCAAGAGGGGCGGATAGCCCGGAGGAGGCAGTGATCTTAGGCATGTCCCCCTACAGGCGGATTTTGAAAGAACAATTAGAAATACCCCAAAATACCCCAAACATACAAAGAAGGTCAACAGATCGTCCCCAGACTATTTTTGTTACTATTTCTGAATATCCCCCCTGTAGAGGGACAGTCCCGACTTAACACTGATCGCCCACGTCGCCCCGGCCGCCCGAGTCTTCGGCGAGGCACCCCGGCGAGTGCGCGCAGTGCCAGGCCCAGGGCCATCATCCCCTCCTTGCCTCCACCAGTCGGCCCCCCTGGATCGGCCTTGCGATCGACCCAGCGATCGGCGGAAAAAGGACGACCCACTCGGTTTGAGTCGGGCATGTCCCTCTACCAGAGGAATGTTCAAAAAATAGTCGAAACATCATCAGGTGACGATTGTTTCGACTAGTTTGGGCTATCTTTGAATATGTTTTGACTATGTTTTAACCTTCCTTCAAAATCCGCGTGTGGGAGGACATGCCCGACCTGATCGGTCGATCGGCGGCGGCAGCAGCGGGCGTGGAGCAGCTGCCCGCGACCCACGATTGATCGACTGCCCGATCGGCCCCTCGAAGACGCGGGGCGACGGATCGAACCTGGGAGCGGCCAGGGGGTCTGCGCAGGAGCAGCCCCGGGAGAGCCGGCCAAGAGGCGTGCGAGGGCAGATCCGGTCAAAGAGATTCCCTGTCGAGGTCGAAACTGGCCCGCCTTTCGAGCCACGCCCAGCCGTGGCGGCGAGGGGGCAGTTCTCGAGCCGCGCCGATCCGCGAGGGACCCAGGGCCCGAAGCCGGGCAAGGTCGCCCGTCGTGGAAAAGAGTTGGGGCGCCGTGGACCTCTGGAGGCCTCCCAGACGGGGTCAGTGTAGATGGGGTCGGAGGATCGCGCCGCATCGTCGATGCATCACCGATGAATCGGCGATGCATCGGCGATGCAGCGGCGACGTCCGCGTGGAGAAGACTGGGCTCCACATGGAGCCGCATCGCCGAGGCATCGGCGATGCGGCGCGATCCCGCGACCCCATCTCCTCGGACCCCCTTGGGAGGGAGGCATGGATCTCCAGGACGAAAGACGATCGTTCGACCCTCGATGGTTCGATCGTCCGCTTGATCGCCCCCGCCATCGGCCCGACGAACATGAAGGAAGAACGCACTACCTGTACGACTACCCTTCGGGTGATAAGGAGGCTGTGGGGGGGGGAGAGGGGGGGAACCAACATCTGATCTCACCGTCGGCCGATTCTGGGCCGCTGGCGACGCTCGACCTTGAACGCCAGCACTGGGGCAACCGCCGCAGCCACGCGGCGCGAACCTATCGTATACCGATTGTTTCGCCATCTTCTTCGAGAAGAATGACGAACGAACAACACACACGGGGGGGTCGGTGAGGGCTATGGGTGCGTGTTGTCAGATGGGGGTCCCCGCTCATACGGGAGCGTCCCCCAGGGTCCGACAACCCGCACCCATACCCATAGCAAGTCCTCCTCCAAACGACCCCCTCTAGGGGCCTATGGGTGTGGATTGTTCGTTCGTCAAAAGAGGGCGGTCGACCCCAGAGGCGGCCGGCTCGGCCGAAAAGCGCGGTCGAAGCGCGGCAGGGGCAGCCGCGGACGTGCAGCAGCACGCCCACGCACGTCCCGTAGCCGAGGCACGCCAGGCCCTGCGGGCCGACGTCGACACCGACATAGACGTCGTCGTCGTCGTCGTCGTGACGTCGCCAACCGTCGTAGTTGGCGGCAACCTCCCCAGAAGTCCCTGCGTCGCAGTTTTTCTCTCGCAGCAGGCAGCTCTGCCCTGCCTCGGGCCCCCATGGCACTTGGGGATCGATGCGGCTCGAGAACTGCCGCAGAGAGATGTGGTCCAGGGCTCTGGTCGAAATTGTCGCCACGATGTTGCAGTGTTCTCGTGGCGTCGGATCTCTGGGTCCCTCCTCCTGCTCCTCCTCCTCCTCCTCCTGCTCCTCCCTCCTGCTCCTCCCTCCTGCTTCTCCTCCTCCTCCTCCTCCTCCTCCTCCTCCTCCTCCTCCTCCTCCTCCTCCTCCTCCCTCCTCCTCCTCCTCCTCCTCCTCCTCCTCCCTCCTCCCTCCTCCCTCCTCCTCCCCCCCCTCC